GCCTTTGGAGGCCATCTGGAGTCCGTGGAGGGAGTAGGGGGAAGTTGGTCTGCCTTACCACTTATTGGGAAGGAGAGTGAGCAATTTAGGAGAGAAGGGGATTTGGGGGAAATCAGGCAGGAATTACTTTAGCTAGGGCTTCTGTCTCAGACTTACTTATCAGATCCTCTTCAAATACAGGGGGAACTTTAGTATATGTAACTCTTACATTCCAGCTTTTATTAGATTTGAAAAATATAATTCGATATAGTATATCCAAATCTACTTAATGATAAGCTATTATACTTGGCTCCAGTCATACTATGAAATGTTGGTATAAAGTTTTCCTCCATCTTCCCAAAGAATCAGAGGAAATAATTACAGTTGATTCTTGAACACATGGGGGTTAAGGGCTCCAATTCCCACGCAGTCGAAAATCCTCGTATAGCTTCTGATTCCCCAAAACCTAGCTACAGTCATCCCTGGGTATCAGTGGGGGGTTATTTCCTGTGGCTCTTTTCCCCGAGCCATCCCACCGTTCACACAAATGTGTCCAAAGTTCTTTTTACTGTTGTCCTCCCAGGTCTTTCCAGAACAGTTACTATGGCACTGTATTGATGTCAATGAGAATTCAGAAGCCAAACAATCTGCTTTAAGCAGAAAATCACAGACGATAAATGACCAGTGAAGTGCTCAAGAGGCCATGAACACTGGAGCAACACGGTCTGGCTTTAGATTGCAGGCCACTGCTTATACCCATATGACTTTGGTCAAGTTACTTGCGATGTTCTTGAACCTCAGTTTCATCTGTAAGATGGGGGTAATAATTATAATTATTTCCCTAAAAGGCTGATTTGAGATGCTGTGAACGCTGCTTTGAGCACTTAGTAACTATTTAGATTATTTGAATGAACTATTACAAAGCTAAGGACTGTCTACAGTCTGGGAGATGACGTTTTGACAATGGACTTCCTGTACTACTTAAACTAGGTCACACTGGGTGAAGATCTGCTCTGTGCCTTTTTGCCCATGATAGTGTCTGTTCATGATACTGGGAATTTTACATTTTCCCTCTCCACACATGAAGAGGGGCTAAGAAGTCAGAGTTTGATGTTATGGAGAATCCCAAAACACTTCACCCCCAAAATATTTCATCACAAACAGAGGGCAAGAGAAATAATATTTACTGAATGCTTCTATGTGCTAGTTCACATACACTGTCTCATTTAAGGCTCATAACATCCCTGTAAATTAGATGCTATAATCTCCAATTTACAGAGGTGTAAACTGAGGCTTAGCAAAGTTGAAATAACTTGCTTAAAATTATAGAACAGAGCCAGAGTTGCCCACTTCAAAGCCTAAATTCTTGTCAGTTACACTACCACGCTTCTCTCAAGAGGGTCAGACCTTCACCTATTTCTTGCAGGCTGTTGGCTCCTATGCTATCTAAAACTATTTTTTGCATATTGGAGAAATGCTCTTATTTCTTTTGATCCACTAAACTGAATTCTCTATTCTAGAATGCTGTTCGGGACACTCAATGAAGGGTATGGTATTGAGAAGTAGGCAGGACACCTTGAATTGCACATGTTCAAAATACAAAGCCTAGAAACCAACAGAAAAATAGATGCTTGAAGTCCTGATTTTTCTTTTGTTTCTAAACTAAACCACTGTTTATAAAGAATATGTCAGTGAAAGATGCAGAAACACTAGCTACTTTTCCTTTATTTTTAGACTCAAATAAATATTTGATAATAAAACAGTTTGCAAAATAAGCTGAAGTTAAAAATAAGTTCATGAAGCCCCAGAGAATGATTCAAATGGGAAATTGTGAAGATACAATTCATCACAGTAAAGGATCTCATGGCAGATTAATTCTGAGTTATGGTTTCAAACCCCTCCTTTAACAGTCTTATTCTTCACCTACCCATGAGTTCAAACAACAATCCATCCAGTCATCCAGCACATATAGTGAATAGAGACCATATGTACTACGTGCTGTTCAAGGTACTAGGATAAAATAGTGCTTAGAATGTGTAAATAAGGTTGATATCACAATAATCAAATAAACAAATGAATAACACGAGGTAATTTAGGGTACTGATAGGTTCTGTGAATGAAGTATGAAAATACAGGGTTTGTGGTGCAGAAGCTACTTGAGCTACAGTGGTCCAGGAAGGTCTCTGAGCATTTGAATTGAGACCCAAAAGAGAAAGAGCCAAATATTCACAAAGCAGAAATAACTCCCAGGCACAGAAAGGTTCTAGCAATTCAAACTTACGCCATCTTAGTCCATTCAAGTTGCTGTAACCAAGTACCATAGAATGGGTAGCTTATGAACAACAAACATTTATTTCTTATTGCTCTGGAGGTTTGAAACCTGAGATCAAGGTGCCAGTGGGTCAAGTTCTCTTGAGGGCTTCTTCCTGGTTGCCACTGCCTGGGACTTCTGCATCTCACATGGTGGCGAGCAGGGAGCAGCAAGCTCTCTCCACTCTTATAAGGGCACTAATCCCAGGACCTCATCTAATCCTAGTCACCTCCCAAAGGCTCCACCTCATCACACCATCACCTTAGGGGGTAAAATGTCCACCTATGAATTCTGAGGAGACAGGTACCAAGTTCAGAGAGAAGGCAGTGCAGCTGGGTCCAGAATGGTGGTATGAGATGAAGTCAGAAAGGTGGGTAGGGCCATGTTAGGTAGAGTCTTGTACTATTAAAAGGAGTCTGAATTATAACTCAAGCATAATGGAAATATATTGGCAAGTTTAAAAACATCGATCCAAATGCTTGGTTGAGAATTACTTATAAAGGGGCAAGAATGGAGGCAGGGAGGGAGATAGGGTGAGCTTGAAGAGGTTACAGTGAAATAAGACTCAAGACTCATAACAAATCTCCTTCATGGCAAGGAGACTTCACTGGTGAAAGGAAGCTGAATTTATTTTAATAACGTCTCCCTTTCGCATGTAACATATCTGCTATAAAAGAAATTGTTTTATTATGATGATGTGAGGGGTGGAGATGATGTGGATGTAGATTAGCAATTACATAGAACTCCACTGTGCATTAAAGAGGCATCTTACTGTTGCTTGGAGGAACCACTATGCAGGGCTCTGGCCCTCCCTAAAGGAGAGCTACACTACCTAGGAAATTAATTCTCCCCTCCAGTCTAAATGCAAAACTGCAGAAACCGTTTACTAAAATATGGCCAGCCATTCTGAAGAGGGCACAGAGTCCTTCCCCCGCATTCTTTACTAGAGGCCATTTATCAATTTCTACTAATTATTATGGACAACTGACGGGAAATTGCGACTATGGCAATTTATTGGCATTTTTCTTGGGCTCAGCCACAAGCTACCTTGAAGTGGTTATCAACGGTGGCTCTGCTCGCCAACTTCCCTGCTTAGAGGCGACGTTGGAGCGCTGGGAGGTGGTGGGGCCTCAGACACCCTGTCTTTCAGCCCATAAATCAGCATCTTAAAACCTCCTGGGAGTGTCTTGATGTTGCTGAATGTATAACAAGTGTTCGCAAGCCAAATCCACTGTCGTCATTCCTGGTGGCTGAAGGGAGTGTGACACGACGCGGCATAAAAAAGCGTTGTTTCCGCCCTGTGTGTCACAGACTTCTCGGGGTTCCTCGAAGGCTTTTTCAAGTTCCACCTTTCCCACTTTGCAGTTATCTTGGCCCCAGCTGCGCATCGGCTTTTGACTCCATCTGTCCTTCCGCCGGGGACGCGGCTCCCTAGCCAAATGGAGAACACAAGTTTGGCTCGCCAAAGTGATTGTAACCCCCGCCCTCCCTGCTCAGCCTCAGCCAAGCGTCTGGGCTGCGGAAGGGACGGCGGAGGGGCTGGGGAGGGGGCAGGGCGCGGAGAGGCGGTTCCCCTCACCTCCCCGGCGTCGCTGCGCTCGCAGAGCCGGGGCAGAAGCCCGCCTGCGCAACCCCCACCCGCCTGGCGGCCCAAATCGCCGCGTCCTTTCTCTTTTGCTCCGCTCTCCTCCGTCCCTGGCCCAGNNCTCTCCTCCGTCCCTGGCCCAGCGGCGATCGCGCCCCGCTGCAGAGCGGCGACTCGCAGGGTGGAATCTGCCCTCGCGTGGGCCGCGTCACACGGAGGGGAGGCGAGGGGAGGGAGGCGCCGGAGGCTGAATCGCGGCGGGCGCCCCGCGGTCCTGCGGCCCCCAGTCGCGGCGGGGAGCAGCCGCCCGCAGAAGCCCAAGGCGTGCCG